TAAATACAAATTGCAATCATTTGACGTATAGTTGAAAAAAGTAGGTCTAGTGAGGGTTGGCAAAATAAATCGTAACCATAAAAAAAACTACGTAGTAAAATAATATTAACATAAATATAAATTTCTTCTCACGAGGGGAGACTACAGTAATAGGATCCTTGATATTTATTGAAGTTATTGATTCTAAATGAGATAAATATCAAATGATTTGAAAATTTTATTCTAACTCAAAATACAGAGCTATTTGAGCTAAGTCAAATTTAAAAGTTACTTTTTCGACTTTAAAAAAGCAAAAAAATTTAAATAAGTTCCATTTCTTATGTCTTATGAATTTTATTCTATGTCAATTAAATTATATAATATTCATGAAAGTTAGTGTATTCCCCTAATAAGATATTTTAAAATAAAATAAAATAGAAAACCCAGAATTTTAATACAAAAATAGCATATTTTTGAATACGGTAACCATTTGCGCATAGAAGATGATAGGTCGTCGGGACAAATTTTTTTTTCATTTTATAGTAAATAAAATAAGCTTCAATTTGATATATGTTTAAAAGACGCAGTATTTCCGGAACATTTTCAAAAATTAAGTTGAAAAAGTTAGTTTCTGTAAAAAAGTTGCCATTTTCTAACCCCCCCAGTGAGCAGGTTAAGTGTTAAATTTTCAAAAAAGATATCAAGTGAAAGGAAAGTATTGAAGGTTTTATTATAAAAAAAAATTATGTTGATTCGTTAATTTTTGAAAAGTCTATGGAAGTTTTAAGAAAAAAATGTGAAAAAAATGACAAAATTTACCAATTTTTAAAATTGTAATTTTATTGAAGATTTCCCCAATTTGCGGAGAACGAGGGAAAGTTTTCAATTTTTAAGGGTAATGTCTTCAACTAGATACGATTTGTGATCTTTTGATGTATTGTTGAAAGAAATCGGTCCAGTGACTGCTGAGAAAAAGTGGCGACATAAAAAAAAAAACACATCATAGTAAAATTAATACCTTCTCAGCTTCGCATCGAAGCTAAAAGTATTGATTTGGTCATTTTTGAATAAGTTATGGCTGTTTTAATTTTAAAAAATTTGAAAAATTTCAAGTGTCTTCGACTTAATACGATTATTGATCTTTATAGTGGTAAGTTGAAGTTAAAATACAATAAATATAAATATATAATTGAATAATAATTCAATATTAAAAGCAAATATAAAAAAATTATATTATACAGTAAAGTAAATTAAAATTAAGAAAAAAAAATAATTAGGCAAGGGAGGGTTTGATTTACTACAATAGAAGACTAACAACATACTACCTCTTTTAATGGGACGTATGGTTCGAGGGATCAGAGTTGAGAAATAGAGATTAAAATAGGGTTGATACTTGTACTCCAATAAATCAAATAAACTTTTTAATATGGCAGTGAATATTAATATTTCACTTATCGTTATACATACATATATATATATATTTAATAAAATTAAAAGCATGCTTTGACAACAATAAAATTTCAATAATTCATTTAAACAAGTGCATTGAGAGTAGAGTGTCTTGTATCATTGACGACTTAATTGTGGCTACACCGTGAACTGAAACTAATAGTGACGTCTTATTTGACAAAAGTGATAAGAAAAGTGCATTTTTTTTTATTTGATATATTGTATTATCTCTGTTTCTCTCTTAATGCATTGTCAGCGCTACTTGTGTTTATTTATTTATCAATAATATTAATTAGTTCATGGTATCATAGATTGAAATAATGTACTTATATATCAAATACAATTATTGAGATCGAGTAATATAATGTAATATGGTAATAGACATATTACCACAATTATTTTTTGGTTTATGATATATTGAAGCATATTTTATTACTTTTTAAGAAATTTTTAAGGTTTTTTGGTTCTCAAATTTTTTTTAGAATTATTAACCATATCTTCTCATTTTTAAAGAAATATTATCTATGTATTTTTAGAGTTTTTTTTACATATTTTCATTATATTTAAAAGCTTAAAATAACTTTAAAACCCTCTTCCTATTATTGATTATGAATTTTAACAAATGTTTATGACGAAGTAAGGAAGTTGCTTTAATGGTAGGTTTTCAACTATAATAAAAATAAAACTGTACATATAATATATTATAATTTTTTTATCAAGTATTATAAATTTTAATAACGTTCCATCACGGTATAGTCATTCATACACCTATTCCTCGCGAGACGTATACTATACATATAAAAAAACAATACCTACGTCCAGCAGTTTTTATACAAATTTTATCATTACGATTAAACCATATGTAACAAACTTAGAAGCAGTGTGTATTAAACAAAAAACTCAAAATTTCTAATGTTTATTTTATTTGTATTAAAACCATTTTTTAATTTTTTTTCGTTTATTTTTTTTCAGTCTCGACCATGGTTTATTCTCGGTGAAAAGTACTTAGCATCTCTTAAAAATGTTTTTCGATTTCCCCATCAATTGTGATATGAAATTCTGAACTTGTTATAATTTTAATAAGAAAAATGTAAAAAAAAAAAAGTTCTATTTATATTTAAATATTTTTATTGTTGGTGCAACCACTGTGGGTTAGAGGGTTGTAACCCTCCTTCTATATGTTTAGCGATGTTTACATTTTTTAGTCATGCATAAACAATTTTTTTGAGAATTTAATTTCGTTTTTGCTTATTTGAATTTTCTTAATTAGCGATTCAAAGTACACAATTTATGATAAGAAAAAATAAAAAGGTTATTATTAATTTTGAAATTAAACCTTCCCCCATGAAATTATTTTCTGGTTGCACCACTGGTTTTGATTAACTTTGTATTTAATTCATAATAACTCATTATTGTAATAAGAATATAATTCAAAATATAATTTTGATTTTGACAATTTTATTTTATTTATCCATTTACTTCATAATTATTTATTACTTTAAAGATTAAACGTTTTTTCAGACATTTTTCATACGATTTTGATAATTATATGTGTTTATCATTAAAATAATTTGTAAATACATTATTTACATTTAACAAAACTGTTATACAGTGTAAAATGTAAGGACTTTTCTCAGCTACTCGATTATAACTCTAAACTAGTTAATGTGAGTGTTTTGCCACCATACCTCTCTGATTTTAATTATCTGGTTATTCTACTCTACATTACATGTTTATTGAGCTTTTTATAAATTAAATAAAATTAATTAATTAATCTATTGAATAAACCTAAGAGTTATAGGAGAAATTGAAGAGAGCATTGGCTATTTAGGATCCCTTGGGATAATGTTAGCATTCCTAAGCATATTTTACCATTCTTTTTAAATATTGTAAGGAGAAATAAAAAAATGTCTTATATTGTTGTTTAATTAATTGCAGTTTTTTTTAATATTGTGATTTTACAATTACATCGGTGTAGTAAAAGTATTTTATTAAAACATACTAATTTATTTTGGTTTCAACAATTATAGTTGAAATACTAGAATAATAGGAAAAAATATATGTATATAATGTTGTACATAATTAAAATACTGGAAAGGCCAAAGTCCAAAAAAAAAAAAAATTTTTTTCATAAAATATGTAGTAATTACAAATGTAAATAATCGGGTCAAAAATTTAAGTCAAATTCAGTATAGAACAAAAATAATGTTAAAACCAAAAATACCCTCATCGTAGTCTATGCAATATAGATTAATGGTTTTTTCATTCTCCTGTAAAATTTAGTTTTTGTGACTCTGCACCTTTTTTATATCATTAACAATTATTGTTAATTTATAAACATATAAAAAGAAGATTGGTACATTATTTTGAGCGGAGTGAGAAAAAATTCAACTACACTTTATACTACAACCTGCTATTCTGAATTTTAAAAATATAAATTTGTATTAGAATAATTACAATTTTTCAAACATAACTATTTATTTTTATCGTGGTTGGGATTTAAGATAAATTGATATCACAAAAATGCAGATCTAGTAAAAAATAAAAAAATATATACATTGAATAATATGTTGTAACGGAACAACATTCGAGCAATGGTAGAATGAGTGGTGCTTTGTTTTAATTTTATTAGAAATAAATTGTAATGATAAATGTAATGATGGATTACCATATTAAACTATTCCTGAGTGTATTCAGGAACATTAACCAGATTTGTAAAATTAGGTATAAACAATTATCAAATTCACGGATAAAGCAGACGAAACACACTACAAAATCTTAACGGAAGGTGTTCAACACAAAAANTTACAAAATCTTAACGGAGTCTTATAAACGTCGTGGTCTCGAAGTCTTCTTCGAAGTCTCATTATTTTGAGCAGAGTGAGAAAAAATTCAACTGCTTTTTAAACTACAACCTGCTATTCTGAACTTTAAAATTATAAATTTGTATTAGAATAATTACAATTTTTCAAACATAATTATTTATGTTTATCATGGTTGGGATTTAAGATAAATAGATATCATAAATATGCACATCTAGTAGAAAATAACAAAAAAATATACATTGAATAATATGTTGTAACGGGACAACATTCGAGCAATGGTAGAAGGAGTGGTGCCTTGTTTCCGATAAATAGTAAGGGTCTCACATGTGCAGGTCATAAGATGCACACAAGCCCGAAAACTTAAAATTCAATAATTTTATTAGAAATAAAATGTAATGATAGATGACCATATATACTCAGGGATAGTTTAAAAATTAATCTACTGAAAGAAATTACCTTTTATTGTCTAAATAGTGACAAAAATAAGCCAGATTTGTAAAATTAGGTATAAACAATTATCAAATTCACAGATAAAGCGGACGAAGCGCACTACAAAATCTTAACGGAGTCTTATAAACGTCGTGGTCTCGAAGTCTTCTTCGAAGTCTCGAAGTGTTATTCTTGTTCTTGAATATAGTAAAGATGTGGGTGATGGAGATGATGATACACAGCTTGACGAATAGTAGGGGGATCTAAAGTTCGAAGTTGTCGGGAACGACGAAGGTGTCAATACAGATTGTGAAGACGTTAAGAAACTCACTTTATGCCTCGTTAATGTGCCCATTTCTGCTTCAAACAAAGTATCATTAATTATCTTTTCCGCAAAACACCTTTGATCTGGATTTAGTCTGCTTAACTTTAGAGACCTTCCCTTAGCAACGAAGTCCGATTCAGCTTCAGGTTTTTTAAAATAGCTAAACCAACTTGCTCATCTGTCGAATCCTTTGAAGATGTATTTTTTCTTTAAAGGTAGAGAGATTGGCTGGTCATTAGACAGTGTCTGTAGGTCATCAATCAAATTATGCTACAATAAAATAAAAATAAAAAATGAATTTTTTTATTCAGGTACCAAAAACTGAAGTAGGTTGGAAGCAGCTAGCTGAGGATTTAGAAGAACAATGGACTTTTTACAACTGTGTAAGTAGTGTGGATGGCAAACATATATTGATTAAAAAACCACCCAATTCTGGTTTTTATTACTAAAACTATAAAAGTACATTCAGTATTGTTCTCATGGCTATCGTTAATGCGTAATATCAGTACATCATGGTAGATGTTGGAGCGAATGGATGAATATCTGATGGTAGAGTTCTGAAGAACATGATATTTTGGCAAAAGTTGTCTCAAAACCAATAAAATATTCCTAATGCACGTGAATTATTCGGCTCAAATAAAAAGTTTCCTTACGTTTTTGTNCAGTTAAACTAACAACGTTTTCTAAGAATTTTATCATTGCCTACCAGACGCATAGGTAAGCATATTTCCAACGTCAAAGGCACCGCCATATTATAACCCACATTACCGTCTNTCGGCTCAAATAAAAAGTTTCCTTACGTTTTTGTCGGTGATAAAGCTTTTCAACCACTACCAAATTTTATGAACTCTTACAACAGAGCAGTACTTACGAATGAAAAACGAATTTTTAATTATAGATTATCCCGAGCACGCAGGATTATTGAAAATGCGTTTGGAATTTTAACATCAAGAATCAAAATATTCCAAAAAATATTAAATTTTCACTACACAAGGCTCGGAAAATAGTGATGGCTTGCTGTCATTTACACAACTACTTGCCAACAATAAATAATGGATATTATTTGCAAGTGGTGATGTTGATTACGAAAACAAAGATACTGGTAGAGTAGATGAAGGTTTATGGAGACAAGGAACTCAGCATATGGCAGAACTTCGAAGATCTAGTGGAAATTTAGCAGCTGAATAAAAAAAATTAGAAATGATTTTTGCGAATATTTCAATTCTTCTGTCTAAGTTCTGTGGAAAAACAATTATTTGATTTAGAGCCATATAAAACCCACTTTTGTATTATTTGTTAAATTGTATTTAAGTGTGAAAGCCATGATATAAACATTATAAACTAACATTTAACATTTAAATATTTAATAATAATAATATAAATACTAAAATAATAAAATTTCTATTTCGAAATACAATATTGTAAACAATAATGGGAAAAACACTCAATAATCCAACTGTGTCATGTCATAAATGAAACTTATCGCAGCAAAACAACGACAGCCAATCTAAATCGAATGTTCCACGCCGTGGATTGTTTATCGTACCAGTCTTATTAGAAAAATAATTAGCTAGGTCATAAATATAATTATAAAATTAGGATTTCAATCATATCTTTCACCAAATTTCATGTTAAAACACACATAAATAAATAAGTAAATATTTGATGTTTACTAATCTCGGAAGTTTGAGTTTCTGCTATCTCGACTTGGTCCTTGATACACAGCAGTTCGTTGTAATATCATACGTTAGGTCTGGAATATTTTCCACTGATACACCTGACCGTTTCTTATTTTCAATAGCATTGTAGCATTTGTTAAAAATAGTGCACATATATTTATTTTTTGGTTCAATTTCTCTACTGTAAAATCAAATTTATACGGCTTTAAAGTGTCCAAAATTTTTTGGAATTCTCTAAATAATAATAGATTAATTCTTTATAGCAAAATTTAAAATTAAAACATTTAAACGACGAAAAAAGTCGTCTATTAAAAACTTATGTAATAACTTTAATGATATATGAATTATACCCGATGATAAATTATCTCATACAAATCAAATTGTTCAAAAAATAATTCCTCCTAATGCTTACCCTATAAATATAAATCAGTATAAATATCCAATGTGACATAAAGAAAAACTTGATAAACAATTAAAAAATCTTTTAGAGCAAGGTATCATTGAAAAGTCAAATAGTCCATGGAATTCGCCTTTATAGGTGATCCCAAAAAAATGTGATGTGTCTGTTAAAAATAAATGGCATATAGTCCTAAATTTTCATAAACTAAATAATTGCGATTCTTATAATTTTCCTGGATTGTTTCAATATTTAGAAATTTAAAAAATATTAAACACATTTTTATTCCTAAACATAAAAATATTAACTGATTCGGATCAATGCTTAGGTGTATTTAAAAAATTCACTATTAAAATTGGCAAACAAAAAAAAATTCTTTTAAATATGTTAATACTATTACTTTTTATAAATATAAACTAATACTATACTTACATGTAAATATTTTAACAACTCTTTGCAATTAAATTTAAATTATAAGTCTTCTTTTAGTGCAATGGGAGTGTAACTTTCGATAATATAAAAGATTTTTTTTTAGATAATAATTTTAATTAATTTTAGTCATTATTTTTGTATAGAGATATCAAAATTCCATTAGTTGTAATTAAAATTTTAATAAAATAAAAAAATATTTACAGAAATCCATAATAATTTTTTTATAGTAATATAAAAAATGTAAATTTAATGTTTAAAAATTAATTTAATTAACAAAGAATTCTAAATTTTAAACATCAAATTGTATAAAGGAATATATATTTTTCTTTTGTTTTATACTTTTTTTATATTCATAAAAATTATGATCTAAATTATTTTTACTATGTCAGAAATATTTATTAACGATACTTTTTAAAAAAGGCACTAGTATTAAATTTACTCAATACCTACAAAAAGTATGAACCAATAAGTTAATACTTATTAGAGTCATTATGTTACCTTAACTATATAATATGTTAAGTAGAAAAAATGATACATGAAAAATGTATTGGTAAAAATTAATAAAGTTATATTTATTAACAAAATTAAATTATGTCTTTTAGAAAGGCTAGATACAAAAATAGTGCTTATTATTATTATTGTAAAAAAAAAAATTTAAAAACATGCAAAATCATGTTTGAGTATCGTATTACTGACTTGATAAATTTATTAGATTAGAATCATAATATTAAGTAAAAAATAAAATAACAGAAAATTATCAAAAATCATATTTTAACAAATTTTATATTTCATATATACCTTATCCATCAATATATATCTTCAATGCTTTTATNTCATATATACCTTATACATCAATATATATCTTCAATGCTTTTATTTTCCAAAAAAAATATAAATAAATTTTCTATTAATGTGTAGAATTTATTTGTCAATTCCGAATCGAACGTCGAAAATCAAATAAATAACCTAAACAGTTCAATATCAGAAATTGAAATAAATGAAAGCTAATTGTAAATAAAAAATGTACGAATTGGTTTAATCTTATTAGCCTTATGCGCAGTTATTTTTGTCTGTCACTACAAAAAAATTATATTTTTGAAATCTAGACTAGTTACTCTACAATATCTATGTATTGATACTTGGGTAAAATAGGGTAATTTTTAGTATGTGCATTTTAGTTTCAAAAACGCCTCAAAAAATGCTCTATTTTATTAAAACGATCATTACTTAGTCAAAAAAAATTTTCTTCAAAATTTTTTTTTTAAATCATTGACTTTTACTTTTAATATATTAATAAAAAAAATTTCAAAAAAAAAATTTTGAACTTTACAACGAATTATTTTATTTTATGTTTAACCATATCTATATTTCAAAAGGCTATAAATAATGATCGGATCAACATGTGACCTTGAAATTTTATATTTTGTCTAAGCAATATACTAGAATTGAGTTTTCATAATTATTTTAAAATTATGAGTACATTTTAAAATGAGACTTATGAGCGCCTAAAATTCGATTTCAGACCACTTTGCACCGGCTCCGGACGTGACACACAACCGGACTCGACAAACTGATCCACACCCGCGCAACGTCACCATAAACAAATCATCGCATCGCCGACACCAGCAAAAGTACCGCAATATTATGCAAAGATTTTAATTTATATCAAAAATTCATTTTCATAATTAGATCATTTTCTATTTTATAAGCTAGTTAAATTTGTATGTTGCTATAAAATAAAGTTGACACCCTTATAAGGTAACAAATTAATTTTTTATGATGTCGATATCACAATCGCGGAGTGTTTATATTGAATTATGACTAACAATAGATATGCTTTCTTTATTACCAATTAGTGTATTTAAAAATTCACAACAATGCGCTTTACTACCATTGATAATAAATGCTGCATATCTGCGAATATCGACATCATGAAGAATCAATTAACTACCTGTATTTGTAATCCATTGAGTATTATACATGTATATTAATTTAAAAATTTGAAAATTTGTAGTTTTATATCTAATATACAAACAAAGTTTTATTAAAAAATTCAAATGCCATTTACTATTAAATTATAAACTCGAACACTTTATTAAACATAAATATGTGTTCCCATTTGAATGAACAAAGTTGACATCCTTACAAGGCATAAGAGATGAACTTAAAAAGTATTACACAGATAAGAATTTAAGAATAATATGTAACTAAAAATAACCCAAAAATAAAACATTTAATTATCTTTATTCCGTAAGTAATTTAGTGAGTTATGATCAAAAAATCATTCTGTATAAATATAATTATGATTGCATTACACATTTTATTTTTACATTATTCATACTAGTTAAAATTAACGATATTTTATACAAGATAAAATTAGATTTTATTTAATTAAACTATTTATACGAACGATAAAAAATATATTGCAAAACCTAATATATTATCAGGACATTTAGTTCAACATAACTTAAGTTCTCTTGAAATTTTAACATTTTAAGCATTTTAGTAACTATTTTTCTAAACATAAATATTTTAATATAACTGAATATTAGTAATGTACATAAGCATTTTATTCAACAACTAATTAATGATTTTATTTTTTAATTAAAAATAAATTTACAATACATTCTAATAATATAGCTTATACTATTAATTCCTTATGATAATATAGATCATATTGTTATTAATAATAAAAACAAATTTCAATTCTGAAATTTGCAGAATTATAAAAATATACTGGTGACCATCTAAAGTAAATTTTATCATTGATATCCCCAAAATAGATTTAATAATAATTAAAAAATAATAATTCATAACCAAAAAGGATTAAGGCAGATATGACAAAAATATAATTTTTAATAGAAATTTATTTTACATATTGGATAAATAAATAATAATTAATATTTAGATCAATATACTAACATTGTATATAAGGCTAACATTAATATTATAATTAAAAGTTTCAGGAACATAATAATTATATTCATGGAACTGTTTAAGAAATTACTGTACAAATAAATACTATGGGCCTTTCAATAATATTAATACTTGAGAACATAAAACAATTTTTTAATAGTTGAAATCATTATTCTTTATTGTATTAATGATTTATTTTATTATAAACGAATAATAGTCTTTGTTTTATAATTATACTAGATGATATCATTAATTAATTTAAAAATACCATTTTACTTTAAGTATTGATATTTATAAATAAAGATTATAGATATAATTTCGAAGAATGAATAAAAATTTATTTAACACATGTTTAAATAATTATAGTAAAATGTTTACTTTAAGTCAAAGGATTTAGAAACAATAAAAAAACCCACATATCAGAATAGTCAAATTTTACTAAACCGTGTTAACAATTATCTTTTAAAATTTTTTCAACTATAAATATTTTAAAATTGAAAAATTACACGAGTAAGTATGCATTTTTCGTAATACGTAAAAAAAATCTTAGCATATTATAAAATTATGAGTAAGTAAAAAATATGTAATAAGTTAATTCCATCATATGAAATATTTATTTATTGTAAACATTGTAAATTGTACTTAAGCCTGAATCAATTTACAAATAGTAAAACTAAATTTGTAATATTTTATCTCTGATGTATAACTATGAAATTCGAATAGATATAAAGTTGATATAAAGCAATTTTATTACTCGAGAAATTATACTTGAAAAATGAATTACTATGATCATTAGTAATTTATCATATTTTACTTTTGAACTTGGTTAGACTAAATATAATTTTAATTTTTTTTAGCATCGATTAAATTACAAAATTTATCTATTGTGGACAAAATTTTATTCATTATATTTTGTAATCTTTCAAGTTATAGGTTTAAAAAAAAAAAGTTATAGGGTAATGATCAATTTACCCAAAATAACTTTGAAAGTCATGTTAGTGGTTNGCCCAAAATAACTTTAAAAGTCATGTTAGTGGTTTTAACTTAAGATACAGATTTCAAACTTGGTAATTACCTATTAAATATAGCCCGATAAAAATTTAAATGGGTTTTTTGAATATTATTTTATTTTATTTAATGAGTAATTAAATTACTTGAATTTTCTAATTAGCAATTAACTCGAAAACTAGAATCAATATGAATATTTTAATTACAACGACGAAAATCTATTTAGAATCTACTATCACATTGATTGGCATATAAAATTTTTTATTATTATTTTGAAGAATATTATTTAAATTTTTTTTTTTTTCATAATGGAAGGTCTAAGATTATTAATTATAAGTAATCATGTTACATGAAACAATTATTACTACAAAACATTATATTCAAATCTATAGTACATTGTATGAAAAAATTGTAATGACTCTTCCTCAAAGTAGATTACTAAATCTTAAAATATGTTAATAAATAATAAGCATAAAAATTTTATGATTTTTTTTTTCAAGCTTCGTTGTTAATAGAAAATGATTGTGCATACATATTTACATGTCTTTATGTTTTCGGTAAGTAAACTCAGTAACTAGATGCATAAAATAAAAAATAATATATTTACATACATTGTAAAATAGGGCTAGATATATCATTGAGCGTAACAAAGAATTCAGATTTTTTGATACTCTAACATTTATTCAAACTTTTTAGGCACAAATTTATACTGTTAGGCTTTTAGTAGCTATCCAAATATAGTTAGTGTGAAAAACATATTAAGGCTGATAAACGTGCAGAAATTTAAATGAAAAAAAACTGTTCACTAACACTACAAAAGTTTTTTATTTAATAAGGACTAATCTTTTGTGTTATTATTGACTAATCTACCTAGAAATAAAATTTCAAATCAAAACTTTTATAAAATGTTGAAAATTTATATTGTATAAATATTTGTACAGAAACAAACTTGAGAATATATAGATAATTGATTTGATGATACAGTGAGTTGAATTAAATTTGAACTGTCCAAAATTAAAGTTTGCGTTATCATTAGAGCAAACACCGATGTTAAAGATTGATTTGTTGCTAATATAATTTTTGGATCTATTATTTAAATTTAAATATTGTTTACTCAAATAAACAATATTTGGTTCATTCAGAACAAATATAAATAACATATTATTCAACTATTTGCGAAATATTCGACAAGACAATTGGAATTATGGGTACTAAACATACCGATGTATTATTGTTCACATCCTATGTCGCTCCATACATGATAAAATCTGATAAAACTAGTGAAGTATTTTATTTTAGAATGATTTATGTAACGTTAATGGCGTTTGAATAGTAACAAGTGGTAGAGTAGGGTAGAGAGAAATCGGTAATTGTCGAAAAAAATGATGTCTAGTTTAAAAGAGATTTATAAAATAGTCAAATCGAGATTAATTATATATAGCTTAAGTTCTAAGCTCATTTTCTAGGTATAAGACTTTACTCGGTAATAATCTTAAAGTATTACGTTTAAAAAACTTACATAACCATATTATTATTCAATGCATTTTTAAGGTATCTAATGAGAGAACCGGTTAGTTTGAACTTAATGTAGTGTTTCCATTTAAATAATTATTTGCTAACAATATAATTTTTAAGTTATTAAAACTAAGAAGTTTAGTTAAAAGTTAGATTTCTATCGGTTTTTTTGCAGTTTAAAATTTTTTTTTATAATTATATGTTATTTTTTAAGGGACTAATACTTACAACGATTGCCAATGAAATAATTGAATACTTGTCTTTTAAAAACTTACCAGAAGCAAAAGAAGAATTTTATAATTGCTTAAATAACATTGCATTTGACGACAATATACAAATAGATAAAGGTGAAAATCTGATTAAATGTATATCATAGACTTTATGATATATATTTAATACAAAATACAAATTTGAATGACTTATTCAAATTCTGTAAATATATTATAAAACAAAGCATTGTTAAAAAAATGATAAAAATTGTGGTATTTTTGTGTCATTTACTAAAATATATTATTAGATTTTATTATCAATTAAAAAAATATAAAATTATAATTCATTTAATCTGTGACTGATTAATGTATATCACAACTTGAATTGCAATTTATTTTTGAAAAAAGATTATTCTACTTATTACGTATATGCGTAACTCTTTACATTTGTCTAATTGAATAATACTTGTTTTTATTGAGTGTATGATTATTTGAATTTGTTTAGAATCATTATATGCATTTTTAAATGACATAAGAGAAAGGTATGTGTCCGGTAATTTACCACCGATCAATACGAGTAAAGAAGTAATGAAATTCATTGGAATGTTCGGTGATTTAACACTAAATAAGATCAGTAAAGAATTAATGAACTCCAAAGGAGAACAAACATCAAGTATTAAAAAAGATTTAAACATTTGCTGTACTATGTTTCATGAGAGATTGTTCGTAGTTGAAGAACCTATAGTAATATTTTTACTTTACTTTACTTATTTTGTATACTTTTTTATAAAATAAGCAATTTATTGATGGTTCTCATTGAAAAACTATTAGAGTATTCTATAGTTTTAGTTGAAGAATTTAAATTTTTATCAATTTCATTTTAACCGATACGATTATTGAAAATGTAATTCTGCAAAATGTTCTGACAACTCTAAAAAATTTTGATCCAGTTAATAATTTTTGATTATAATTTTATTTTTAATATTTATTAATTATAAATTGATAAAAGAATAGAAAAATTAAATCTTTCCTTGCTAAATTATGGATATCGGTTATGTATAACTTTTTCTATGAAATATATTAATTATTAATTAAGTGCATGTTATTCAACTTATTAATTCAAATAATATATGATAGAAAATCTCTTTGGTATTTATTTTTCATAAATAAAAAGTTATACATAACCTATGTATAACTTTTTCTATTAAAATTATCAATTTTTAATTAGGTGGACCTTAATTAAATGTTTTTCAACTTATTAATTCGATTAATAAAAGATGGCAGATCTTATTGGTATTTATTTATATGTTTAAATTTAAGTTAAAACAAAGCTGTTGTTTTATTCTAAATGATAAAACCATTGTTGTTTATTTTTCTGAAATTTCAAACGATTAAAAAATTTACCTTTAATCTGATGAACAATTTAAATCGAAATTAGTTAAAATTTTTTATCAAACTCATTTAACTTAAAAAGTTGTTAAATTTATTGATCAATCTTTTTTGAATTCAAATCTATTAACATAAAATAAATTTGTCTGAATAAAATATTTATTTTGTTAGTTTTGCATAATATTTTTAGTATACTTATAAGTTACAATTCACTATTTAATTATAAACACTCATTTCAAGAAGTTGATAAATAAAATAAACCAAACCCAGTAAAGTGGAGTAGCAGAACGTGACATATTTGGTATATAAGGGACAAGTATACATAATAACTTACATTTATTATTATCACAATCATAAAAAACGCTTCGATGTGAATTTTTTTTAATTTATCAATAATTTTTAAATATGTAATTAAAATATTTATATGTTCCAAAATTTCACTCAAATAATAGAGGGTCGTTATAAATTATTTGTTTTATTCCACAATTAGTTTTATATAGAGCTAGAAGAGTATCAGCTATAATCTTCCGTTACATAGTCAATTACTATCCTTCAAGATCATGAAATACATCCTTTTAACTTTAAAAAATATTTATTTTTTTTGAAGGATATGCAAAAACACAGCGTCAAGAGTATTAAGTGGGTTTTTGAATATCATGCATGTTACCGTAGGATAGTAATTATTGGATTAACACAATAGTATAGGCCAAAAAAGTACAAAAATATCCAATGCAAATTGTATGATAAAATAAATTATTTAAAGCTTATTGTCTCTAGTATCCTGTAATAATGAAATAAATATATTTAATAATAAATATAAGGATTAATATTCATCAAGCTGGAAAGTTGGGTTTGGTCTAATTGTTTGAATTGAGTTTCTATTGTGGTTCGTAAAGTTCGAAAGTTTAAAACAACAAAGAAAATAATTAGTAGTTCTCTATTTCGAAGTGTAATAAATAAATTAATCAAAAAGCTCCTTTAACGGTACCATTGTTATATTGATAGTTTTTATAGACAAATATTTCCGTTATATTGTTATCAGTTACCCGTCATTTGTGGCGGGATTATAGAGAAATTATTATTATTTATGACTTGAAGTAAAGAGTTTCCTCTTTAGTTGTTAGAATGGCAACCCCATTGTAATTTTTTGGCATTTAGGTCACCGCCCACTATTAAACTATGGTCTAGAGTAGAAAAGTAAGTATTGAAATTTGACGGAGAGACCGACTGCCTAGGAAGACAATATACAGATGCGATTGTAGTGGGTAAATGATTTAGTGTTATTTTTATGGCAGCAGACTGTAAAAAATGTTCATTAAATTGGATATATTGATAAAATTGTATAGTGTTTTTAATTATGATAGCTGCACCACCGTGAGCGGAATTATCCGAGTGGTTTGTATTTATTATTTTGTAACAAGGAATTGATAATTTTGTTCGACTAGTGAGATGGGTTTCAGAAATTAAGGCTATATCGATTTTTTTGTCAAGAAGAAGGTTTAAAAGTTCATTTTTATGGTTAAAAATACCATTTATCAAAATCCTAAAATTTAGATACTTTTTTCTAATTTTCTGCGATAAGTAATATAAACTAGATCGAACAAGATTAGGATCGGGTTCTTTTGATGTATTGATAATTAATATTGGTTCAGTGAAAGCTAAGAATTTTTATGGACAAACAAAAAAAAACAAAACCATCACAAAACCAATACTTTTTAAGCATCGTATCTAAGCTAAAAATATTAGTTTTTAACAGTAATTGTAAAATGATTTTACAATATATAATACTATTATAATATATAACTATATAATAATAATATTTTATGTGTTATATTAAAGACATCATAAAAAATATAATTGTACAATTACAATAGAAATTAATTGGTGTGATATATTTATAGATAACTGAAAACAATGATATTGTTACCAGGGCTTTAAAAAATTATGGTATAGCTGTCAATATGTTGTATGACTGTTTCAAAAAGTATCATTGTTTGGATAATGGCGCAATACCAAAGAGTAAGTAATATTATACTAATAAATGATGTAACAGACAAATGTATAAACAGGTAAAAAAAGTTGTACTACCAAAGTTGTTACTAATATTATTTCTATCTTATCATTATATTAAAAACGCTATTTGGTTCATACATCAATTAATGAATTAAAAATTCACAAGAAAAAAAATTATAAGACAACATTTTAATATTATTTATGAATCAAATAATTTTTTTTCATTACAAAAATGTATAATTGCTCTGAAAAATAAAATGAGTGTCCTGTCTAAAACCGATCACGATATTCATCTCATATTCATTATTTTTTTCTTAATATGAATAAACGCAGCGCACGGTGGTATTCACGCGGCTTCGTTAACGTTCCTGGTTTTATTTTTTGTCTTAAGTCTTTGGGCAATATCGAGGATCAGGAATAAAGTGAGATTACTGTATAAATGAATGTCGAATGGATTTCACAATACATAATTATAACAATTAAATTTATTATACGTGAATTATAAAATCTTATATACACCAATGTGGATATGGTGGATTATTAATACTAATGCCACAACAAAATGAATACAAAAAAACTGGCTCGCTAGCGCCACAGATCATGTAGCAGAAAAAGCGTTAAGATGGCGGCGAAAATGTAGACATAGAGAGAAAACTGACAACAACTCGATGTAGCACAACTGTAGCATAATTAATCACAACATAATTTCTCGACAGCATATTGATGTGTATCCAACATAACATTTACTATAAAAATAAAATGAATTTTCTACTTTTTTTTAATTTCCTTTATAAATATCCACAATTTTATTCTGTTATTATATAATATTAATAAAGTAAAATTTCAGACAGATTAAACCATGATTATTTTCGTAAATCTACGATCAATAATTTAAAGAACATTATATCTAAAACTTCTACTCCTCAAAATATGGTTAAACATGTACGAAATTGCATTATAATGAATGATAATGTATTTGGGAAGTATTGTTCTGCAGCTTATTATACTTTTTTGATATCTGAAAATAATGTGAGTATAAACAATAAGATAATTATAAAAAAAAATGAGCGGGACTGATAGAATTATAAACTGATTATATTGATATTATTCGCTATTACAGTGTTATATTAATTATCGACTATATTTTTATATGATCTTCTAATATTTAAATTAACCCAAATTTTCACTTCAAAGGGAATTTTTTTTACAATAACTGTTGATGGAATAATGAATTTAATAACATTGAAGAATTTACCTCGTGCTAAAACAGCGCTGTACAATTGCTTCACGAACAATAATTTAATTGATTTTATTAAAAATCGCAGTATGTTAATTTTTATTATGAATATTTTAGTTTTTATTTAATAAGTAACCAAAGTTTATTAAAAGTAATTTTATCTATTTATTTTTAACATTTTTATAGGATCTTTTGATAAATTTTTAAATGGTTTAAGAAAAAGAATTGTTTCTGCTAAAGTTCTCCGTAAAAATGTTCATGTGGAAATAATAAAATTCTTAAAAGAAGATTTATCAAATTTCACGAATGAAATAATTAATTGTTCTACTAATTTTTATTCGACATTGTTTGAAGTGACAGAACCTGAAGTAAGTATAAAAAGATTCTTAATTTCGCTTTGAAGGTAAAATTAGCTAAATTAACGATTAGTAAACTAAAGGTCGATNCACTTTGAAGGTAAAATTAGCTAAATTAACGATTAGTAAACTAAAGGTCGATTTATACTATAGTCAATTATTTATGAAAATTATTTAATTTTAAATAATACGATTTCGTTACATAATTTCTAGGACTAATGTATCCTTATTTTGATTTTTATTGTGTAAATTCATTTTATTGAGAAATTTACATCAATTAATTAAACCTTCTTCTCTTCTGTCAAACACAAGATTTAAAAGTATTTGGTCGGTAAATTACGATATTTTAAATAGGACACCGTGACAAGGCCGACTGTATATTATTAATTATGCTTTCTGTTTCGTTCCTACGATCAACTTGGCAGTTACGAATTTTTCGATATCGAACTTAGCGTCAGATTAATTTTATTACTAGTATGCCACTCTGTTATCATTCTAGGTTTTATTTAAACAATGATTATTTTTATTTCTCTTTGCTTGACAACAACACACAGTGTTATATATATATATATTATTCAATATGTATATAAATATACAGAGTGGAACTGATCTAACTGAATACTCATATAACTTATAATCTACATAACATTTTTTACTTTTTTTTTTTAATACATTTTTATAATATAAATAGAACTATATTTAAAATTGTTTTGTTATTTTTCGCAATTACTAAAAATATTTTAAAAATTAATTTTTTTGTTAAATTTTTTTTTTGAGATTTTAAGATGGCTTTTTTAGAAATAAGTTTTAAAGAAAAATTTTGATACTAAAAACTCTTATTTTAATTCAGTAGTTGGGTTTATACAGCATTTTTAAGTTTGTAAAATTTTGATTTTTTTACAATTTTCCTATGGTGTCAAATGTTAGTCTATATTATGTAAAGTACAGAAGTAAACACTTATTACGTTATTTACTGTTAACAGTACACGATTTCTTTTCTAAGGATAATAATGTTTAACTCGCTGTATATAGAAATAATTATCTATTATATTTTCTATTTACTACTGAATTTTAATAAGTAATTTTTTTACCAACATTTTTCTAAAAACTGCTCCACAAAATAGCTATCTTTTTTTTTTACATTTTATTTTAAATTTTAAAATCATTAATATTTTTAATAAAATGTAAAAATATAAATTATTAAAATATAATTATTGATCCAATATATAACGTATGTTCTTAAAAAAAAAAATAGTAAAAAATATTAGCTAGATCAAAAGTTATTAAGTTGTCAGTGATTGCTGGGCCACTCTGTATAATTGCAAAAGTCAGAAATAAATGTGTTAGTGTATTCTTTTATGTGGTCTGAGAAATTCAAGAGGAATTGATTTTCTGCAAATGTTCTCCATCAATTAAAAGCTTCATCAATTAAAAAATGGCCTGTTTTAAAAGGTCTGGTCGATTGGAAAAGAGGACATGAGTTCAGACAAACCTCAGCACGAGTAAGTACGGTGTACACTTCGTCGAACGATAAATGCGACTCTCTCAGTATTCTTTTTACTATTTTGTGATGCTTGACCGTTTGGTATTTTTAGACATTTTATTTTTTGCGAAAAATATTCATCTGTACATATACACTAANTTTATTTTTGATAGTGATTTTAATCACTGTCAGATATCATTATACTTGATCCAACTATACCACGGCATCACTGTGCCGCGACTCCACTATGCTGGGTTTTTTCCACATGATGTTGCCTGAAGATTATAAAGGGTTTTTGACACGCCTTCTTAGATTCTAACATTTTGAACCGTTCTTCCAAAAGTAACATCAACCCATTTGATGTTGCTACTTCATCTTTATTTGCACTTATGTAATAAACAAATAGAAAAGAAAAGAAAATGGTGGATAGGAATATATTGTAGAAGTATATCAGGGTAGTATTGTGGTAACCCAATGTGCCCCGGCGATAAAACCATGAAAGAATGCGGCACAATAATCACCTTGACAAAAATTCAACATTAAAAATATCTTTTTCTGCGTTATATGCCGGCGCGATGTTCGTTAAAACAAAGACATTAAGTCTAATACATATACCTTAATTAATTTGAAAAATTAACCCAGAGAGTAAAACTGTTGAGTAATGTTGCAATTTTTATCATAAGATAACATCACATTCTTAAAGAAATGTCCGAACATTCACAAGCAAGTACTGAAAGCTTTTAAGGCATATGTAAAGGACAATTTTATTAAGTAATAACAAAAATGTTATATTTGTGAACGATTTTTTGATACTTTATATAAAAATTATACTACTTATGTGTAAAATAAATGTGTACAATAAAAATTTTATACTAACTTATGATATTATTTAGATCATCACTTACAAGCGTTTNCAGCAGTGGATAACACTATTTGATCACATGTTGATAATACTGAACTGAATTTTCATCAATGTTTACGTTTTCATGACTTATCTGTATTGTTGTACGTAGTGGGAAATGCAATAATGAATTATGATGTCAAACGCATTTAATACAATTTTTACCTGCATATTGTTTCAAACAAATTTTGCAAAGTTTTAATTTATTTATTTTTTCAATACGCTCTTGCGCGGATAAAGTCAAGAAAGTTGGACATCGGTAAATTGTCTGCAATAATTTACAAATAAAACATTTAATAGCTCTATCTGCAACAGCACAAAACATTGAATAATACTTTTTTCCACATGATGTTGCCTGAAGATTATAAAGGGTTTTTGACGCCTTCTTAGATTCTAACATTTTTAAACCGTTCTTCCAAAAGTAACATCAACCCATTTGATGTTGCTACTTCATCTTTATTTTCACTTATGTAATAAACAAATAGAAAAGAAAGGAAAATGGTGGGTAGGAATATATTGTAGAAATATATCAGGGTAGTATTGTGGTAACCCAATGTGCCCCGGCGATAAAACCATGAAAGAATGCGGCACAATAATCACCTTGACAAAAATTCAACATTAAAAATATCTTCGTAACTTTTTCTGCGTTATATGCCGGCGCGATGTTCGTTAAAACAAAGACATTAAGTCTGATACATATACCTTAATTTATTTGAAAAATTAACTCAGAGAGTAAAACTGTTGAGTAATGTCGCAATTTTAATCATAACATAACATCACATTCTTAAAGAAATGTCCGAACATTCACGAGCAAGTACTGAAAGCTTTTAAGGCATATGTAAAGGACAATTTTATTAAGCAATAACAAAAATGTTATATTTGTGAATGATTTTTTGATACTTTATATAAAAATTATACTACTTATGTGTAAAATTAATGTGTACAATAAAAATGTTATACTAACTTATGATATTATTTAGATCATCACTTACAAGCGTATTTTATGTTAATATTATAAGTGATAATGTGTGTGTTCGGTAATATTCACGCAGGTTTGTTGTTTTATTTTGTCTTAATTCAGGCTATGTCTTGAAAAAGGAATAAGCTTAGTGGACTGTATGAATGAATATAAAATGAATTTTACAATATATAATTATAACAATAAAATGTTTTATATATGAATCATAAAATCTTATATACACCAATGTGGATAGGGGGACACTTAAAACTATTGCCACAATGACGCTGATATAAACAAATAATAAATTATAAATATAAATAAGTCTTAAAAATAAGATGAACAAGCATTATGTGCAGCTTAGCAATACACTATAATTAGTAAAAATAATTATAAATACCCTTAGAATAAATGAAAATGTTTATTNAAGGAAAATGGTGGGTAGGAATATATTGTAGAAATATATCAGGGTAGTATTGTGGTAACCCAATGTGCCCCGGCGATAAAACCATGAAAGAATGCGGCACAATAATCACCTTGACAAAAATTCAACATTAAAAATATCTTCGTAACTTTTTCTGCGTTATATGCCGGCGCGATGTTCGTTAAAACAAAGACATTAAGTCTGATACATATACCTTAATTTATTTGAAAAATTAACTCAGAGAGTAAAACTGTTGAGTAATGTCGCAATTTTAATCATAACATAACATCACATTCTTAAAGAAATGTCCGAACATTCACGAGCAAGTACTGAAAGCTTTTAAGGCATATGTAAAGGACAATTTTATTAAGCAATAACAAAAATGTTATATTTGTGAATGATTTTTTGATACTTTATATAAAAATTATACTACTTATGTGTAAAATTAATGTGTACAATAAAAATGTTATACTAACTTATGATATTATTTAGATCATCACTTACAAGCGTTTTTTATGTTAATATTATAAGTGATAATGTGTGTGTTCGGTAATATTCACGCAGGTTTGTTGTTTTATTTTGTCTTAATTCAGGCTATGTCTTGAAAAAGGAATAAGCTTAGTGGACTGTATGAATGAATATAAAATGAATTTTACAATATATAATTATAACAATAAAATGTTTTATATATGAATCATAAAATCTTATATACACCAATGTGGATAGGGGGACACTTAAAACTATTGCCACAATGACGCTGATATAAACAAATAATAAATTATAAATATAAATAAGTCTTAAAAATAAGATGAACAAGCATTATGTGCAGCTTAGCAATACACTATAATTAGTAAAAATAATTATAAATACCCTTAGAATAAATGAAAATGTTTATTAATACTGTTAAAAATAAATGTTTATATTTTTTTTTCTAGATTTTAGAAAATGAAAACGTGGATGATCTTGTATCCAAAAGATATGATGTAGCAATAGATGTTTTGTATGACTGCTTTGAAAAGTATAAATGTTTTTTGGGAATTCGAAAAAGTAAGTGATTTTATACAAATAAATGATGTAATAATCGAATGTATAAACAAGATAATAGAAAAAAATAAAACCAAAGTTGCTACTTATATTATTTTTTATAACTCAAAATCACAATTGTAATTTCTTAATATACATTAATGTACAATATACATTTCTTATTATAATAAATTATAATAAAAATATAGGAAAATTTAATAATAGTTCATTTTATAAATCTATTATCCATAATTTAAAAGACAATCATCTAAAACTAAACATAATGTTTGTATTTTTTTAAAGCTTTAAAATACGATTAGCTTATTTTATTTACATTTTTTTGCTTAAAATTCACAATTTTAATCATATAAAATTATTGAAAAAAAATTTCAGAGAAATTGAACCATAATTTTTTTCGTGAATCTACGACCCGTAATTTAATGGAACTTATATCTAAAACTTCTACTCCCCAAACAATGATTGACAATATTCGAAGAATCAGTTTAAATAACAATAATGAATTTGGGAAGTATTGTTCTGCAGCGTATTATACTTATTTGACATCTGTAAGTATAAACAATACTACAATTATTAAAAAAAAAAGTGTCGAATCTGATAGAATTATAAACCATTATGGAATTGCTAATCATTATGCTTCAAATAGACAAACTCTATCAAAAGAAGTATTACATTAATATTATATTATTTGCTATTACAGTGTTACATAGATATACTATTAATTTTCGATTATATTTTTATATGATCTTCTAATTAAATAAAATGTATGTTTTAAAATTACCGAAGTTAATAAACTTTTCTCTTCAAAGGATTTCTTTTTTACAATAAAAATTGATGGAATAATGCATTTTATGACATTGAAGAATTTACATCGTGCTAAAACAATACTGTACACTTGCTTCACAAATAATAATTTAATTCAATTTATAAAAAATCGCAGTAAGTGAATTTATCGCAGTAACTTATTTTAAAAATTTTAGTTTTTCTTTAATTAAGTAACCAAAGTTTATTAAAAGTAATTTTATATGTTTATTTTTAACATTTTCAAAGTATCTTTTGATGAATTTTTAAATGGTTTAAGAAAAAGAATTGTTTCTGCCGAAGTTCTCCCTATAAATGTTCATGTGGAAATAATAAAATTCTTAAAAGAAGATTTATCAAATTTCACGAATGAAATAATTAATTGTTCTACTAATTTTTATTCAACATTGTTTGAAGTGACAGAACCTGAAGTAAGTATAAAAATATGTTTAACTTCGCTTTGAGGGTAAAATTAGCTAAATTATTAATTGACAAAGTGGTATCAGTAAATGTAAAAGTCTGATATTGATTTGCCTTTCTACCCGAATTTACATCTTTTATAAAAAATAAATAACACTAGTAAAGGCTGTCATAAAAAATAATGTCGTTTCAAGGTTACATAATTTATACAGGGTGTTCAGTAAGTTAGGAAACAGTTACATTGTTACAAACAATGAGTACAATAGAAATTCGTTTCCTTATTTAGAGAACACCCTGTATAGTGTGAATCGATCTTTATTGGAATAATGGTCAAGTAAATAAAATATACATAAATTATCTACGATTAAGTGATAGGTAGTGTAATAAAACAGTTAAGTAATCTAACCTTATTTAACCTAAGTAAAGGTTAAATATCCATAATAAATTTTTGAGTTTTTGTTAATTATTTATACAAATTTGATAACGATTAGTCATTCTCCTCGAATTTGCCTCTTTAACAAAGAATAGTCATAACGCTAGTTAATACTATATCTTCATCTATGACTTATAAGCTTTATACATCTATTATTTCAACACTCCTGTATGTCTTCTTTACCTTTAAATATCGCAACCACAATTCTATTTCTCCATTCTTTAAGCATTTTCCCTTCTAATAGGATTTTAATAAAAAGATCCTTCCACCAACCTTATGCCAGCACTGCCTAATATTTTCCATAATGCTACTGGCACTTCATCTAGTTCTACTGATTTATTCTTTTTCATTAATATCACAGCTTCCGTACCTCTTACTGACTTTTAAATTACTCACAATTAAATTTACCAGTCTCTCGTTCTACGAGGTATTCTCTGATTTCATTCTTGGGTTTTCCTCATTTAGTAATCTTTCAAAATACTCTTTTCACCTTTTTTTAGCCTCATCACTCAATAGCACCCTCTTATTATATATTATATTACTTTTTATACACCTTTTATAATGATAATTATTAGACCATTTTTCTTTTACTTTTACAAGACTATAGCCTATTTTCACTTTCCATTATTTCTAATTAGTGTGTAAAATTAAATTGTAGANAATTAGCTAAATTATTAATTGACAAAGTGGTATCAGTAAATGTAAAAGTCTGATATTGATTTGCCTTTCTACCCGAATTTACCTCTTTAATAAAAAATAAATAACAAAAGTAAAGGCTGTCATAAAAAATAATGTCGTTGCAAGGTTACATAATTTATATAATAAATTATAAAGAATAAAAAGTGGAGTAAAGATATTCTGATGACAAAATATTAAAAACATGTACACGATTATTAAACTAAAGGTCGATTTATACTATACGAACGTCAACGTAACGTTACTCAGAACGGCGACACGTCATAATAATACTTAACTATGTATTTATGTGATGTTGACGTTACTTAATGTGGCCGGTGTATGTGAACATTACGATATAAATATTTGATTAAATATTCTGACATGACGATGTCCATTTATGGCGTGACAAAGACGTTCCATATAGTGTGAATCGATCTTTATTGGAATAATGGTCAAATAAATAAAATATACATAAATTATCTACGATTAAGTGATAGGTAGTGTAATAAAACAGTTAAGTAATCTAACCTTATTTAACCTAAGTAAAGGTTAAATATCCATAATAAATGTTTGAGTTTTTTTTAATTATTTATACAAATTTGATAACGATTAGTCATTCTCCTCGAATTTGCCTCTTTAACAAAGAATAGTCATAACGCTGATTAATACTATATCTTCATCTATGACTTATAAGCTTTATACATCTATTATTTCAACACTTCTGTATGTATTCTTTACCTTTAAATATCGCAACCACAATTCTATTTCTCCATTCTTTAAGCATTTTCCCTTCTAAAAGGATTTTAATAAAAAGATCCTTCCACCAACCTTATGCCAGCACTGCCAAATATTTTCCATAATGCTACTGGCACTTCATCTAGTTCTACTGATTTATTATTTTTCATTAATATCACAGCTTCCGTACCTCTTACTGACTTTTAAATTACTCACAATTAAATTTACCAGTCTCTCGTTCTACGAGGTATTCTCTGATTTCATTCTTGGGTTCTCCTCATTCAGTAATTTTTCAAAAAATACTCTTTTCACCTTTTTTTCGCCTCATCACTCAATAGCACTCTTTTATTATATATTATATTACTTTTTATACACCTTTTATAGTGATTATTATTAGACCATTTTTCTTTTACTTTTACCACACTATAGCCTATTTTTACTTTCCATTATTCCTAATTACTGTGTAAAATTAAAGTGTACATTAAAAATATTATACTTATGAATATGAATATTTAGATCATTACATAGAGGCATATTTCATGTTAATATTATAAGTGATAACATAATTATCATTTATGAAACCTCCATTCTTTTTATAGACATCGTTAAAAATTTCCAATGATTCCAGTAAAAAAAAGTTACCTCACATGAAACCACATTTTGATAAGCTTTGCAATACAATATAATTAGTACTAATAATTTAATTATCTACCTTTAGAATTAATGAGAATGTTTATTAATACTGTTAATTATAAGTATTTGTTTTTNACACCTTTTATAATGATAATTATTAGACCATTTTTCTTTTACTTTTACAAGACTATAGCCTATTTTCACTTTCCATTATTTCTAATTAGTGTGTAAAATTAAATTGTAGATTAAAAATATTATACTTATGAATATGAATATTTAGATCATTACATAGAGGCATATTTCATGTTAATATTATAAGTGATAACATAATTATCAATTATGAAACCTCCATTCTTTTTATAGACATCGTTAAAAATTTCCAATGATCCCAGTAAAAAAAAGTTACCTCACATGAAACCACATTTTGATTAGCTTTGCAATACAGTATAGTTAGTACTAATAATTTAATCATCTACCTTTAAAATTAATGAGAATGTTTATTAATACTGTTAATTATAAGTATTTGTTTTTTTTTTCTAGATTTTAGAAAATGAAAACGTGGATGATCTTGTGTTCACAAAATATAATATAGCAATGTATATTCTGTATGACTGCTTTGAAAAGTATAAATGTTTTTCCGGAATTCGAAAAAGTAAGTAATTTTATACAAATAAATGATGTTACAAAGGAATGTATAAACAAGGTAATAGAAAATTATAAAATCAAATTACTACTTATATTATTTCTATCTCATCATTAAATAAAAAACGATATTTTTCAATAGAAAAAAAATTATAAAACAACATTTTAATATTATCTATGAATCAATTAATTTTTTTTTTCATTACAAATATTATTAATTTCTCTGAAAAAAATAGAGTGTTCTGTTTAAAAACGATCATGCATCTCATATTCATTATTTTTTCATAATATTTATATTTTTTAAAAAAGAATTTTTTACTCTTTTAAATTTCATTTCTAAAAATCCACAATTTCATTCTGTTATCAAGTAATATTAATAAAATAACATTTTAGATAAATTGAACCATGATTTTTTTCGTGAATCTACGGCCCGTAATTTAAAGGAAGTTATATCTAAAACTTCCACTCCTCAATATATGGTTGACCTTGTTCGAATATTTATTTTTGGTAATAATCGCAGTGATTTTGTGAAATATTGTTCTGCAGCTTATTACACTTTAATGACTTTAGATGAAAATCGCGTAAGTAAATTTTGTATTTTAATGTACGTTAGTAAATTAAAATAAGAAAAAAATAGGAATTAGTCCGGGATTTTTTGATTTACTACAATTGAAGAATAAGTTAAATAATATACAGTGATCGATCGGATTACCATAAACCACTCAATTACTCACAAAATAAATACAATAATGGGAAAATAATTTTTGATTTCTTTCAGTTAAATATAATTCATGATTTATCAGCTTATAATTAATTTTTAGGAACATCCCTTATATCTTGGAGGGATGTCAACTTAATTTTTTGAAGTAGTAACATACATATTTAACTAGCTTATAAAATAGAAAATAATCTATTTAAAAAAATTATTTGCACTTTTGATCCAATACTTCAGTATTTATTAACAATTTGAAGTATTGACTGGTGGTGAGGAATGGGTGATGTTATTTTTATCACTTCGTCCCGTTCACTTATAAAAATGGAAATAATATGCAATGTACTAGTCCAAAAGCTGTTATGCACCAGTAATTTTCTTAATTAGATAATTTCCTATAAGCTAGTTAAATTTTATAATATCAATTTAAAAAAAGTTGACTCTCCTATAAATTATAAGGGATGATCCTAAAAATTAATTAATAGCTAATAAATTAAGAATTTTATGTAACTACAAGAAATCAAAAATCATATATTTTATTTATTTTGCGAGTAATCTAGTGGCTTATGATAAACCGATCATTCTGTATACTATCCATTCTATCGGGATTTATGGTTTGACGTTTTGGAGTAGAGAAATAGAGATTAAAATAGGGTAGATATTTAATACATATTAACCTTTAATATAGCAGTGAATATTATTATTTCACTTATCGTTTTACTTGAAATAAATAAGTAATATAAGTACCATAACACGGTCGGGTATAGAAAGAGTACCGGAAATCATAAGAAAAAAAGAGGCACGGTACGGGATTAGAACCCGCGACCCAAGGCGTCGTATAGACAAACCTTACCACTAGGCCACCGTGCACTTATAATTCAGCTTCCGATACACTTGCATTTAGGTTGATAACGTGATGTGCGGCTGAGGGAAACACGGTACCGTGTCAACCATTAGGAAAATTAAATAAATTTTAACACTGACGCGTATCCAATTTGGTACAGTAGGAAGTGTACAAACGCACACTAAGAATTAATGAACCAAACTTACAAAAAAAAAAACTAATAGAAAATAAATGTAGTCAAGACAAGTTTTTTTTAAGTAAACACGGCCGCAGTGGCCAGTTTATAATTATTTAACAGCTAACATGTAGTGTTCAAAAGTTATGTGTGTAGCCCGGTCAAGCTCCACGTAGCTTGAAATCGCATTACCCCTCTCATTGTAATGATAACCATCGTGTCCGGCACTACCAGCATCTTGCTGTCATTACGTTTGTGTCCGCGGTTGACGTTATATCGAACCGTTGAGTCCAATGACTCGTAGCCAGTGAGCTGGCATAGTTTTCTTTTATTGGGTTTGTGTCGGCCTGTATAAGCCGTGTGGTTATTGAAGACTCAGTCCATATTTGGAGTTGGTGTTCTTAGTGTACTCACACCGGTGATGTTTCCTTTTCTGTGGTTCGTCGAGTTAGTGCGTCTTATCACTATAAAGCTAATCGTGACACTAAGGATTGTTGGCGTCGGCCAAGAGGTATTGTTGTGGAAATCTCAAGCATTGCGATATCACGCGGCTGAAGAAGTGTCAAGTGGCTGGGTGATGTAACTCCATTTTTTTATTACTTAATGTTCTTAATGTTAACGTTAGTAATATTCCCTCATAATGATGACANAGAATATGGTAAGATGTTAGTAATATTCCCTCATAATGATGACAACTATAAAGAAGATGAATTAAATAGTCAATTAAATGATTCATTTTCAGACATGAATTTATCAATGGCATAATTATTTTTTAAATGTATAAAACTAAAATATTCATATTTATATATCAATGTAATCGTATAACAATTAATAATAAATAATGACTAATTTTATTTATAGAGTAAAAATCCTGTAAAACATACGATTTTTAGGAAAATACTCGTTTATTCTAGGTAAATGCAGTATGTACAGTTCAAATATTATCGAGCGCAAAATTTTTTTTTTTCATAGTATAGCTAATGACTTGCTCTACAAGCCACATGTATGGATTAACGTGTAATTTTGCGTAATTTTTAGTTAATCTCTTTAAACGAGCAAACTAGAGAAAAAAACGAAAAAATTCGATTTTTTTTAAGTATAAATATGTTTAATTCCACAAAAATAAAAAAAAATCTTTTTTTTCTTTTTCATTTGAAAAAGGATATCTTTTTTAATAGGAATAAAAATTTTTTTTAATTTTAAATTATGTTTTAAGGCATAAAAAAAATGTACAAAAATAAACTCAAAATAACTGAAAATACGGATAAATTTTAGAAGTATAACATTAAAATAGCTCTACACCTTCACTAAATCAACTTATGCCCTTGAAAATTTGTATTAAAACCCTTAAGTATGATATTAATGTGTTTTGCTAAAAAAAAAAAATTTAAGTGACTTTTAAAAAATGATATTTTTGGCCGCCTAAATCGGCGTTTCATTCCACTGTGCGTCATTTATGTTGAGATAGTTAACTTAACGTTTAAGTATACAGTCGTGAAATAATTCACTCTCGGAATTATAAGATCATTTCATTATATTTTTACATGTAGTGTTATTAACAAAGTAATCATATAATACGGGTTGTAATTAATACAACACAACGTTGGACGAAAATCTGGAACTCTAAGGCATTGTATAAAAACAAATAACCGGAACGATCAGTCGAACATCAAAAATAATAAAATCGTAATCGCCAAATTGCATCGGATGTTAGTTTAATAAAAAGGGCCAACTATACAAAATTAATTCATATATATTTTAGCCAGGTTTTGCGCAATTAAATTTGTTGTAACTAGTGATAATGTAAAAATGTACCGCCATATTAGATTCACAGAAAAGGATAAAATGTCCTATAGGGTATCAAAATAATACGGTTAAGCGTAAATATCCACAAGAACTAATTTTTAAAGAAAAAAATTCAACACAGTTCTTTCTTTTATGATTGATAAAAAGGAAGGCAGAAACCCTTTTATTTGTTTGCATAAAAATGATATACGAATATACAGAGTGGAACAGATCTAACTGACAACGCATATAACTTATGCTCTACATAATATTTTATACTTTTTTTTGTTTAATAAATTTTTACAATATAGTACTATATTTAAAATATGTTTTATGTTATTTTTCACAATTACAAAAAATATTTAAAAATTTTTTTTATAAATCGCGTACTGTTACCAGTTAATAATTACCAGTCCAGCAAAGAGAAATAAAAATAATCATTGTTTAAATAAAACCCAGAACGATAACAGAGTGACACAGTAGTAATAAAATTAATCTGACGCTAAGTTTGATATCGAAAAATTCGTAACTGCCAACTTGATCGTAGGAACGAAACAGAACGCATAATTAGTAATATACAGTCGGTCTTGTCACGGTGTCAAGGTTGGACAAATGCACGATGATCACCGATTGATAAGTGGACGGCTGATATCGAAGAGACAAGAGTGAGCACCCGCCTAGAGCATAGTGTGATGCAGTGTCGACATTTTATATATATGTTTATATATGTATTATATATCTGTATTTAATAAAATTGAAAACAAGCGTTGACAGTTATTATATTTTAACAATACATCATTGACGATTTAATTGTACACCAGGGGCTGAATCTACTACTGATGTCTTATTTGACAAAAGTAATGAAATATATCATTTATTTTACTTGACATATTTTATTATCTCTGTTTCTCATCTAATCCATAGTCAGTGCTGCTTGTATTTATTTATTTATCAATTTTATAAGTTAGTACATGGTATAATAGATTAAAATATTGTATTTGTATATAAAAATGCTTTCATATAGTTACTGAGGTCCAGTAATACAATGTAATATGTTAATAAACATATTACAACAATTATTTCTTGGATTTATGATATTTTAAAGGAAAGTTTTTAACTCATATAAAAATAGATCTTTACATATCACTAATTATAATTGTTATAATGTGCAATCACTGTATAGCCGCTCGTATACCTGTTTCCTCGTAAGACGTATATAATATATAAAAAAAACAATACCTACGTCTTACCGTCGTATACAAATTTAATCATATGATTAAACCATAATTAACAAAATTAGAAGCAGTATGTATTCCATATAAAATTAAAAACGTTTACTCTTCATTCTGTTTGCATTAACCATTTTTTTATTTTTTTAATTGCTTAATTTTTTTTTTCAGTCTAGACCATGGTTTGTCAATGGTGAAAAGTACTTAGCAGCTCATAAAAATGTTTTTCGGTTTCCCCATCAATTATAATTTGTATACCTGAACTTATAATAACTTTTAATAAGAAAAATAAAAAAAATTAAAATTTAATAAAATATTTTGATTAATGGTGCAATCTGAGTGGGTTGTAAAGCCGCCTTCCATATATTTAGCAATGATTGAATTTTTTAATCATACATAATCATTTTTTTGAGAATTAACTTTTTTTTTTACTTATTTGAATATTCCTTAATAGTGGTTTAAAGTAAAAAAATTATGGTGAGAAAAAAAAGGTCATCATTAATTTTAAAATTATAACTTCCTTCCATAAAATTATTTTCTGATTGCCCCATTGATATTGAATACATTTATATTTAATTCATTATTTAACTTATTATTGCAATAAGATTACAATTCAAAATATAATTTTGGTTTTGACAATCGATACAATTTTACTTTATTTATTCTATTAAACTTCATGATCTTATTGTTACATTTTTAACGTTTCTGTGTTTTTAAATATCAGTGAGTGTTCTCTAACACTGTCCAACAAATAATAAAAAAAAAAGTACAAAAATAAAATCGAGAATTTTCACACGAAAATAACATTTGGTAGCCATTTTCACCANTTCTATACGCATTTTAAAAGGTTTGCACCCCCCCTGTATAAAGGGAAATGGTCCGATTTTAAAAAAAAGTATGTCGAATGAAAGAAGTATATATAAAGTATTTATCATTAAAGAATAAAGTTGATTCATGCATTTTTTAAAAAGTTATAGCAACATAATGTTAAAAAATGTAAAATATAATATCAAAAATTTTTTCACAAAAATAGCATATTTTTGCATACGGTAGTCATTTTTACAATGAAGACAAGTCCAGAGGTCAAATTTTTTTTTTTCAAATTAAAGTATATTACATTAGCTTTAATTTAAGATATATATAAAAGTTTCAGACCTTCCGGAATACATTCAAAAGTTAAGTTAAAAAAGTTAATTTTTTGTGAAAAAGTTGTCATTTTAAATCCCACCTTGTGGGCAGATAAAGGGTCAGATTTACAAAAAAAATATACCAAATGATAAGTAAAGGTATTAAGCATCTATAAAAAAAATAATAATTTGATATGTTCATTTTTGAAAAAGTTATGGCAGTTTTTAGTAAAAAAAAATTGAAAAAATTAGCGATTTTTAAATTTGTCATTTTTTTGGAGGTTTCCCCCATTTACGGGGAACGNAAAATTAGCGATTTTTAAATTTGTAATTTTTTTGGAGGTTTCCCCCATTTACGGGGAACGAGGGAAATTTTTTCAATTTTTAAGGGTAATGTCTTCGACTAGATACGATTTGTGATCTTTTGACGTATCGTTGAAAGAAATCCGTTCGGTGAGAGCTGAGAAAAAGTGGTAACAGACACAAAAAAAAAACACATCATAGTAAAATTAAAACCTTCTCAGCTTCGCATCGAAGCTAAAAAATTCCTTACATGAAATCACACTATATTCAGTTTTGGAATGTACAAATAATTTGATCATCTACCCTTTGCATTAATGTGAATATTTATAAAAACAGTTAAAAAAACGTGTTTGAATTATTTTTCTAAATTTTAGAAAATGAAAACATGGATGACCTTGTGTCTAAAAGATATGATGTAGCAATACATATTCTGTATAACTGCTTTTCAATTTTAATGTAATTTTAATAATTTGTGCTTTGTGTCAGTATAAGAGTAGATTAAAAATTATAAATTACGCAATACTTTATTTTAATAATAATTAATATAAACATTCGAATTTAATAGGAAAATACATTTTTTATTTAATATAGCTATTATCAATTTTAATGGTCAATTCTTATTCAAAACAAAGTTATTTGTTATTATAAATATTATTTGTTTCAAAATTGGTATAACTGGAAAATATTATTAAANGAGTGACTGTTGCTGTTTACACGATGCCAGTTAGCTGTTGTCGTTGTGGTGATGTAGTGGAGGGGGGAAGCTGTCGCGCCAGCAAAACAAAATAATTTGTTTTACTGGCAATGTCATCTGCTGGCACGCCAGTGACCACTGGCTTTCTCCAGTTGCTGGCAGATTATGTTTAGACGTTGCCAGCCGCTGGCATTCAGTAACTGGCGACTTCGACTGGTACGTCGACTGGCATCGTGTAAATCAGCCTTATGTCAAGGGTGTTCGCCACCGGCTCCGGACGTGACACACGACCGGACTTGACAAACTGATCTGTACACGCGCAACGTCGCTATAAACGCTGTTAAATTTTTGACCCTCGAAGATCATACTGGACATCACGTCACCGATATCATAAAAGACACATGAAAAATTTAATTATTACAAACTTTAAAATGCTAAGGATAATTAGCATTATATAATTAATTAATATATTATAATAAATATAGAACTTTTATAAGATATATATATCAAATATTTTGCTAAAAATCTAATTTACACCTTGATTATTTGTTATTTTTTTTTTTAATTTTTGATAAATTAAAAAATATATATATTATTTATTATAAAATTTTTAAAACTCCCACAAATATTAAAATAATAGTAACAAAAAATATTAACTGAAACAATAGTTATTAGAGTTTCCTGAACGCGCAGGACCATTATATATAAATAAAAATAATTTATTTATTTGTATATTAAACACACTATAAGAAATATAATTGAACTAGATCAATAGAATTAATTGATATTTACTATTTATAGTTAACTATAAACAATGATATTGTTGCTATGGCTTTAAAAAGATATGATTCAGCTGTAATTATGCTTTATGACTGCTTCAAAAAGTATGGATGTTT